ACTATAGACTTGACATATCTGAAACTCAGGAAGCAACTCCAAGACCAGGGCATTCTGTCGTTTCATTTGTTGTTTCTGCTCCCACACCATGTATCATTTTGTCGTAATTTAGGTCTTGACTCATCCACAGGCTAATAGGTCTACACAATACAAAATAAAAAATAAAAGTCTAGTACCTGGATAATTTTCTTCCCTCTGTGATATGTAATTTAAAGCTTCAGACCAGGTGAACTCCACTGGAATCCAAGTCCAACATCTACAAATATACGCTGAGTATCTGGCCTGCAAACAAGGAAAGATTCCCAACAATCCCCCATCCCAACAAAGGAAGAAGAAAATAACAGAAGATGGTAAGTTACTCCAATGCAAATCTTAAATTGCACATTGACCACTCACAAACCTCTGCATATGAAGTCCAACACCTATTGATCCTAACAACTTATTTTTGAGGTAATCATACAGAACCTTCAATTCATAGATCGGATATCCAACCTACAACTGCAGAATATGGAGATATGCCTAAACTTACAACAAACACTTAATTTTACTATTTTTCATGATGCTGACAATTAGTCATCTGAAAGCAGGAAACTATTGCTTCACTGAACTAAAGATTATGAACAAAAAAACAAACAAAATTAGTATGATCTTATAGAAGTTCATAAGCAAATGGGAAAAAAAAGAATGGAAGAAATCTAACATAGCCATGCCTTTAGCATCACTTTTGTAGTAGTGAAAGATTCAAAAACTTACACATCACTTGCATGTACACTTCAGAGCCAAGATTGACCATGTCCTAAGACTTGTTACACTATTTTTTCTCAAAATTCTCAATGTTCCTTCGCAAATCTGAGCTATACACATTTAGTGTCAAGTAAAAGCAGATGAAAAGGATCAGCAAATTGGTAAGTTCAAGAAAGGGAAATCCTTGAAATAGATTGTGTCCGTACTGTCCTTTGAACTCTGTATCATTGGTTGCTTTTAAAAAATTAATTTACATACACCCAACAAAAATAATTGAAAGGCTTAGTGAACCATTATTAAGAGTCATGAAAACCACAGTTTTTCTTTCTTTTTTTTTTTCTCCCAAGATCCATATGAAGCCTTAAAACACTAATTACTGTGAAAAATTTTGACTGGATTAAAAAAAAAAAAAAAAAAAAAAAAAATTCAAGTGATCCTGGAATCATTTAGAAAGGAAAGGAGAACCAATCTATCTCTGTGAACAAACATGAAAAACAAAAAATACAAAATCTTTTGTTGTTCAAAGACCTTGTCCCTGCAAAGTAAAACACAACAATGAATTAGCATATCACATTGCTTAAAATGTAACAGCATTTTCCACTTGTAAGTTTCAACTCCAGAAAATAAAGCACTTTGCATATATTCTCAACTAGATATCCAGAAACTTTGCGGCTGCTTTAGTAATTTAGATGCAGAAACGGTTATAAATTTTGACAAAACTTCTCAAAGAATGTAAATTTTCAATAAACTTATAATAAAACTTACTTCATGATATCAGAAGACCTAAAGTCCAACTATTTTCTTCAATACAAAGTCCCACCTAATTGCTAACACCGAAACATTAGAGGACAAGTAATCATACAGTGTATGAGAAACAGCAATTACTCATTTAATCAGCAAGATCCTACTAAAGAGCATATCACAGATCAATACATCACTCTAATGATACTAGATGATAACATACTAAATAGCTTATTAATATTAACATTGTATTGATTCACAACAACTAATTTCAAATACAAACACCAAAACAGACTTGGCCAAAAATATCTTATATCAGTGTCTTCAACTTGCATTAATTTTTTTTTTTTTTTTTTTCCTAAAGACATTCTAAATTTTAAATCCATTGAAAGACAATTTTCAACAATCCTGTAAGGGAAAACACACCGTTCACCAATAGCACGAACAAGGTCAGGTTTCAATCGGCGATCAACAAATTCCTCAAATTTCTGTATTTTCTCCTGGCGATAGCTATCCATTTTAGTCCTGCTAAAGCAATATCAACTATGAAGTTAAGCTTGACCCAACATCAAGAATTCAAAGATTGAGATACAAATGCAATACAACATGATTTAAAAACATACTGTATAGCAAGTTACGTTCGTGTCAAATGCAAAGAGCAAGCAGTTCATTCATAAACAAGTGCACGATGTTTTATTACCAGTCAATCTTACTTCACTACATAAGAAAAACTAGATGTTCTAAATTGCTTTCAAATACAGTAATGAAATATATAAAAAAAAAAATACACAGTATCTGTGTTTCTCACTAATACTAAATGTTCCCAGAAAATACAACAGCTTATCAGGGATTACAGAAAACAAAACGTTCCATTTAGGCATTTCATCAAACAGTTAACAGGACATGACCAGAACGACAATAACAGAGCACAAAATAAACGGAAACTACTTCAAAAAAATCCCCCATAGTCATTGCAATTTAACAGTCTGCTATCTCTGTGTTTAGTTGAAAATTCAATGGATAATTACATGTTAAGTTAGTTCACCTTTCTTACCAATGACGTTCTTGTTAACCCCAAAACAGGCCGTTCGTGATGCAGAAAGTTATATTGGATGCCACAAGTAAACATATATCTTTTTTCTCCTTTGGTTATTCGTTCAATAATAATGAAGGACAATAAGTTAAAATACTAGCAAAAACATCCTGCACGTTGACAGACGTTTGGGGACATATAAAACAATAAAATGAAATTAATTTTCTTTTCTCGGTCAATTTTTTTTTTCCTTCTTATTTTTCCCCAAACAGACAAGTCATTCATGGAATTAAAATGAAAAAATATTAAAAATGAGTTTCACTGTTTTTTCCTTTAAATTTTCAAGGCTGCTTAAAGATAAGAACAAAGGAAATCGCCCATGAAAAGATCATCTTATGTTAACTTGAGTTGGTATCGTGTTATTGATATTTTAATATTTTTAATTTTCATATCTTTAGTATCAACTATCAAAGCCTGTTCGACATATGGATTTTGAAAGATTCTTTAGAAATTCCATAATTTGATGGAAAAAAAAATTTGGTTTTGGAGAGTTGAGATGCTACTCTTTTTGGAATATGAAGACTTCTGGAAGGTTCTAGATAAGGGATTTTTAGTACCAATAGATCAAGCAAAATTAACACGAGCAAAATGATAGTTTGACAAATGCCAAGTAAAAAGATTTGAATTTCAATACCAATATAGATGGGGTTGGTTTTTAGAGAATTGCACACACAAAAACATCAAAGAATTCATGGGAACATTATGATGAAAACCTACAAAAAAAAAAGGTGTTGAAGATTCAATTGAAATCCTAAAAGTTGCCTCCAAATGAGGTGTTGAAGATTAAATCGAAGCCTTGGAAGTTGTCTCCAAAGGAAGTGTTGAAGATTCATCGAAGTCTTAGAAGTTGTGGGTGATCAAAGTTTTGTGGAGATCCAACAAAACAAAGAACATAAATGTCTTCATTGAAGATGAAGTCAATCATGAAATCATCTAACGAAAGAAATTGAAGATGTCTCTATTGAAATATAGGAAAAATAGTTCTAAAACAATTTATTTATTTTTAATTCCCATAAAAAATTCAATCTAAGATCAATACATCTCAATGGGAAAAAAAATCTAAATCTCAATATTTTATGATTTACAGACATAATTAAAAATAGGATTAAATCTTTGCTTTCAACCAAAAAAAAAAAAAAAAAAAAAAAAAGGGGCATTCTATCTGCATTAGAAAGGAATCCATTCCGTTTTGAGATGGAAAAAGTTAGCTATTGACGGATAGACCCTTCATCCGTTTCATTTCATCCAACTTCCGTTAACGTGGGATTTTTGCCATTTATAAGTTTTTGAAAACGTTAAAAGGATCAAAAAGATATTATCCCTACTTGGGAGTTATTTATTTTTCTCAATTTCCCCCTGAAATTTAGAGTAAGTGACCTTTTTCAACCCAAATAATGGTTTAATGACACTTTTCACCTACAGGTTTTTAAAATATCACTTTACTATCCAAATTAATATTCCAACGGCAAACAGAGAACAAACTCTATCCAAGCTGTTGAGGCTTTTGAATAGGGAAGGCCGATGAATCTTTTGGTGGTGAAAAATTGGATTTTGGTGATTGAGATTGATTGAAATTTGATTTGGGAGAAGTGGTTGCGTAAACCCTAATTGTTCGATTTTTTACGATTGGCGAAGTCGACAGAAGTAAGGTTTTAGGGGTTTTGATTAGTGATGATCGAGAAAGAGAATGATAGTAGTGTGGGGTTGTAACAATGCCTCAACAGCCCCAACAACCTTGGATTGAGTTTGCTCTCTGTTAGCCGTTGGAATATAAATTTAGATAGTAAAGTCATTAACTCCTTAAATTTATTAGCAAGGTAGATCAAAGGGCATCACCATCCCGTTTGAACATCGGGTGTCTCACTTTCAATAGACAATCAAAATGGCAAGTCCAACGGACTTCTGCAAATCTGCTGAGCTACAATTAACAGTTGACACGAACCCTTGACCAACATTGACCAATGAAGGAAAATTTTTTGTATTAAACAAAATAATGAAGGTTCCAGTGACAAATATCTACATACACATCTTTATTTTGCATGTTCTGCGTATACAGCCCTGAATTTTTCACATGCTAATCCATATGCTTTTTTTATAATGTAATTGAACTCCATGATCATTCAGAGATAGAAAGGCATCAAAACATTTGAAGCTGCAGAAAAAGCAACTCCTGAATGAATGTGAATGACAAACTATAATGCAGTGCACTTTAAAACAATACAGAAAATCACAATCCTTTCAAACAATTTAGAAAAATGAAACAGAAATGATAAATCATGGATTTGTTCTATCTAATATTGTTTTATGGCATTCACATGCTCCTTGCAACGAACAGATTTTTGCAATGCATAACACAGAAATTCCTGATTCATATGCTCTACTTTTTGAGGAAGTTCACAAGTTCATTGATCATTCCTAATACCAGTTATCATCCAAAGCTAAATTTTTTACCATGTTATTAATTTCTTAAACAACAGCAAGCTAACAAATAAAGTTGTAACAATTGGAAATAACTCTATATATCTGGAAATAGTAATAGGATATGAATATTTCACAAGAAGCTACTAGAAACTACAACGACTAGAAAAATCTATAATTTCCAGAAATTTTCCATCCGGTAATCCTGCATTTTCCCTTAATTTTGGAATTATTCAACATTTCAACTCCATATGCCTTTTCATTCTATCCCCTTGCAAATTGATGGAAAATCAACTACAGCCCTTAAATGAAGTAGACGACGGAGTTGAAAGTAATAAGCATATCACCTTCCACAAAACCTTGTATGCTAAGGTCTACCAATTTATTAGACACGACTCCTCATCGAAATGAATCATGACAGACAAATAAGTCAGCAATGCCTCATCAAATTTCCCATCTCCATATTTTAGCTGAGAAGAAAGTTCCATGGATAACAAAACAAAGCACCAAACTGCAAGATGTCATCATTTGTTACCTGTTGGTTCATCTGAAATGGCTTCAGTTTCTAAAATTGACTGACATTCAGCACTGGAGGCTTCTGTTCTATAATACTTGCAACTGAAGTAGAAAACTGCATTCGTCATGGAATCAATAAGCACCACAAATGAATACATCATCACCAAAAGAGGCCCTTCCCATAACCTTGAAGATCCATCTCCATAGCTCAGGGTCGTCACCCTATGATCAAATAACCACTCAATAAACGCCATCCCAATCGTTGATCCTAAAAATATCACCAGACCCACCTGAGTCTGGCCCTTAATCAAATACCCTGACCTAAGCAATGCCTGTGCCCCTGAAACATCCTCCAACACACAGATAACAATTCCAGTATTACAAATGATAATAGCAATTGCAAAAACGACTGAAAACACCAACCCCACAATTATTGCCGCATACCCAACTAAAGGTGCAAAGCCAACAACAGAAAGTGAACTACACACAGCAACAAGAAGCACAAAGAATGTCGTGAGGCAACCTGAAATCACCATACACACCCACAAATACGTTTCCACAGGCCGCCTCCAAATTTTGCGAATTACACCAAAAAACTTAGAAAAGTCGACCTGTTTCTTTGAATAAGTACAATCTACAGAATAAGCAACAACAACTTTTGACAACAAGGACAGTGTAATAAACATAGGAAAGCACATTGTGGAGGAAACAGCCATTTCAGAGATGTTATGACTCAACTGTTTGATAAAAGGCCTCAGTTGGAGACCGCTAGCTTTAGCTACCAACAAGAGCCTAACAGTAAGTTTCTTCACAATGCTCCGATCAACTAACACTTTTGATAAAAGAAGCGCTGAAACTGGGCAAATTAACAGCGCAGCAATAAGCATAAAAGCCGAACAATTAAACCGGAGAATCCTAACAGTTTCTCTCAATATCTCTAAAGCGCTCGTGGCATGAAAATGGGGATCACTGACATCGTTACCATGATTAGATGATTCTAACTCAAGATCTTGCAAATGGGTATCTTCAGATCCCTCCATTTTTAAGTGATCCAATCTAATCCAAGGAGAAGTACAATTAGAGAGCTCAGTTTTTATCAAAATATCTACAAAGTACACACAGCTGTTATCTGCTCATCGGATCCTATGTAACTGAAAATAAAGAATGCGAATCATAATGGGCTTTAAAAAAACTCAAATAGATCTGGTAATGCTAAAAAGTAAAAAAACCTGAGCGTCACGACATTGAAACGGTGGCAACAGGCAAAAAAGCGGGCTACAGAGCAACAAGAAAGAAGTTCAAAAACTGATTTCACGGCTTTAGAAGAAATGGATTTGTGCTAAACGTGTGCTTTGGGTCTTCGGAGGAGTGATGGTGGCATTTACAGCGTGTGAATGAAAAAACTTTACACTGCTATGCTACAAAAAGCTATGCACGAATAGAAGCTGCTCTTCAATTGACTGCACAGCTTTATAATCAGGAATTAGGATTTAGGCATAGAGTCTCATACATCATCCATCTCAAGACTGTATAACTCACCGTACAAATACAAAAGGATGGTACAACACTTACAATCCAATCTCTAAAACTTTCTCTCACAACTCTAATATAGTATCAATTGGTCCACTCAAAAATTAATTCATCTCGCTATGAGTCACACTTGCCTAATTACGAACTGACACGTTGGTATTGTGAAAAAAAATTTGTAACATTAGATTGTGAATCAATCTTTATTAAATACAAAAATAGACCGATACTCAACAAAGCTAGTAATAACAACTCTTAATTAAGCCTCTTAATATATAAATATATATATATCACAATGGATAATTTAATATGAGATATGATTCTCACCCAAATTACTTGAAGTGTGTGTTCGGTTAGGGGTAATAGAGGATCATTGAGGTAATATCATCTTATATTACTTGATTATCACGTTTAGTTGTCAAGTAATATAAGATTCTAGTTTTTTTTCAAAACTAATAGTCGTTATTGTAGGTAATATATGAAGTAATTTGAATTACCTCAATTTTCTTAAGTATTTTAAGATTACTTGGTAATCTTATTTTTGTTACAATTTTATCCCTTATTAATAAAATTTTAAGATAATAATACCCTTGTTTTAAAAACAATTTACAAAAATACTAATGGACTCTTTTATCCTTATATACAAAGTTTTTAGGACATAAATACCCTTAGAATTTAAAAAAACTACCCAAGGATGGTGGCCAAATTTGGCCACCACTACTAGCCACTGGCCACCACTACCGACGGCGACAAAATGGTGCATGACTGGCCGGATCTGGCTAGTCATGCACCGCTAAAGTCGAAAATGGCTAGATCTAGCCATGAAAAGGCCATATATTTGGCCGTGAAAAAACGGTCGTTTCACGGCCAAAGATGTGGCCTTTTCACAACAAGATCTCCACTATCACCACTGCTAGCAATGGTGGCAAGCCACCAATAGTAGCTTGGGGTGGATGGAGGTGTTTTTATTAATTTTTAAACTTTTTTGTTGTTACGATGCTTTAGCTAAATCTGAAATATTGGGGGTTAAAAGAAATTATTCAAAAAATAATGATATAAATAATATTATTTTATATTTAAAAAGGAGGGCAATTTAGTAATTTATACAATATACCAACTAATTTATTCATTTTAACCAAATATATTAATATAACATACCTACCAATTTATTCCAACCAATTAAACACATTTCTCTTAATATTCTAAAAAGAAGTATGCAATAAAAAATTATACAATATTTAGATAAGTTGTCCATGCAACAATTCAATGACATATTAGTTGTGTGCTATAAACGGTTTGGACAACAAGACAAGGATTAATTTGTCAACATTTTCTAATTTTAGGATGGGGTCAACCAAAACTTATTTGTCTATTAAATAATAAAATTTAGAGTAAACAATTTTCCCACCCAAGGTTTGCCTTAATTACCTTTCCCACCCAAAAAGTTTCAAAATGCCACTTTCCCACCCAAAGTTTATATTTAGTTAAATATCCAAATACACTTCACTTTCTCAATTGGGGTTCGACAAGTTATCAAGAGCCAGAGTAAGATGGGTTTGTAGACTGGAGGTTGATGGATCCAATGGTGGTGACTAATTGAATATTCGTCACTAAAAATCAACTAAAAATGGGAAATTTTAGCTTTGTGGTAGCTGATGATTAGTTAGAAATCAGGTGTCAAAGGTTCAAATGATAGTGACAGAGAAAATCTTCGTCATTAAAATCGGTTTTAGGTAATAACAGAATATTAACTTTAGGTGGGAAAGTGGTATTTTGCAACTTTTGGGGAGGGCCATGTCATTAAGAAAAACCTTGGGTGGGAAAAAGTTGTTTATTTTTAATTAACCATATATATTTATCAATAATCCTTTTAATTAACCATATATATTTATCAATAATCCAAAATTGTTATGTTTTACCAACCAAAACTTAACGTAATTAATTTATTCATCCTATCAAAAGTCAAGAATATGACCTATTCATCTTCTAGTTTTCATCAATTCAAGTTGGCATAAAATCAAGGGAATTTTCACTTTTATTTTGTCTTCCCGTAGGTCAACTCAATACGTGGGAGACAAGTTGTTCACTTGGTCAAATTAATAATTTACTAAAACGACGATATAATTGAATGGTTCCAAACACAACACCATCTCTCTTCTTCTTCTTCTTCATAAATTCATAATCATCCTTCTCTACAGTGTGTCTGTCTCTCATCACCCACCATGTCAATTCCTCCGGTCAGCCTCCACACAATCCTCTCTGAATCAAATCGCATAATCAAGGAACACTCACTTCACTTCAAGGTTCTCGGCGTCCTCTTCCTCGTCCCTATATCTTACTCTATCTCCCTTTACCCGATCCTCAAACCTCAATTCCTTCTCCTAGACCAAAAAAGTCTTATTCTCGCACTCTCTTACACAGCCTTTGTTTTTGTTTTATCACTCTGCGCTACATCCTCCATCACCTACAGTGTCTTCAAAGGATTCTACGGTAGACCGGTCAAGTTTGTATCTGCTATCAAATCCATTTTTAACTCTTTTCTGCCTCTCTTCGTTACCACTTCTCTTTGTCATATAATTTTATCCGGGGTTCTTGTTATTTTTGCAGTTTTCTTGTTTTCGGTTGTTAAATTTGCTGAGGTTGTTGGGTTCGATCAATATGAGTACTCTTCTCCTTATTTTATATGTTTTGGATTGGTTATTTTGATTGTTTATCTGTTTGTTTTGGTTTATTTGGGAGTGAAGTGGAGTTTGGTGCCTGTGATTGTGGTGGTTGAATCAAGCTGGGGCGTGAAGGCTTTAAAGAGAAGTGCAACTCTAATAAATGAATATAAGTCGACGGGTTTGTCTTTGTATTTGTATTTCTTAATGATGACTGGGCTTCTAGTTTGGATCAGTTCGCTATGGAGTACAACTTTGTTTGGTATGGATTTTGATGATAAGTGGGATTTGGCACTTGTGTTTCTATCTTTGACGACTACACATTTGCTAATTATTTGGGTGTTCCTCGCGTGCGCAGCGGCCAATACTGTGTTGTATATACATTGCAAGGCTGCTGTTAATGGGGAAATTATAAGCGAGGATTTTTTTGCAAAGGAATATGTAAGCCTGCCTTTTGATGATGGAAAAGTACCTCTTCTTAAAGGTTATTAGATTTTTGTGCTTTGTAATGTCTCAGAAGTACTTTGTTTCTTGTATTGTCTCTGATAAAAATTTTGGTGAAGTAATAGAAAAACAAAGTGTATGAGACAGATTCTCTTGCTGGATTGAAATCAATTTAATTTTATTTATCTTTTTGTATTTAAAATTTTCTTTTATGGAATTGTTATCATATATAAAGATAAATAAAATAAAATAAAAGCTTATGTCTTCCTAATTGTAATACCATTTTTATAAAACCTTTTCCAATTAGAACGTAATTCTAGGCTTTTAGTGGAGATGTATGGCAGAATGTAATGAAGGATTTGGAGGTGAACAATGGCTTAAACCTATTGGTAATAATTTATTTTGTTACTAAATTTGAAATTATTACTAATAAATTATAGGATAAGGCTCGTAAAGAAGTCAAGGATCATTGGCAGATTCAGGATTTTTGTTGAGTGAGGGCCTCTACGACTTTGCCATTGTTTACCAAACAACTAGTAAAAAATTTAAAAAAATCACCAAACCTTAAACAAAAATAACAATACAATATCAAGAACCTGAAAGAACAACAATGTAATATTACAATACTTTCCTACTTGAATAAATCTATGAGAAGCAAAATTTTGAGTAAATGTATTAAGTAAACCTTCTTTTAATTTTTTTTTTTTTTTTTGGCTTCCAAAGATTATATTATAAATTTTCATGATTTTGATCAGACCTAACCTAAACTAAAGTCAACCAAAACTTTAATCAAGTCGACGTTGTGTTGACTTTTAATAGGAATTAATAAAAAAAAAAAAAGGGAATTTTTTGGTATAAACATAGATACTAACTCAAATTTCTTTAATATTTTTGAGCAGTTGAACAATGACATTTGAAATGTAAAAAAGTGGTGGGTGAAGGGTGAAAAATAACTTCCTTTAAAATATAATTAAGGTTTTAATTTGGGAAAGCATGAACATTCTTAAACACAAAACACAAAATAAACTCACAAGATCCATGTCTTTTTCCCTCAAATTAGAATAAAAAACCTTTTAAAAAACAAGCATGATTCAACCCTAAAATAAACTAAATTGAAATGAGTAATACGCATACTAAAACTGATAAAACAGAAAACAAAGCTAATTATGGCACCTTGAGTAGTGAAAGCTTCAACAATTTCAGTCTTCAAAAGTTTTAAGAACGAATAACATAAGAAAGAGAATGAGAAAATAAGAGAGTAAATAATTTTAGGGATAAAATCATAAAAAGTAGATAGAGCAGTGAAGAAGAAGAGTAGAGAGCGTTTTAAACTTTAATACGATGTGTGCTTATTTATATATATATAAATTTTTTGTTGACCCATATATTAGTAATTTTTTTTTTTTTTTTTAAATATGAGGGGTTGGATCCGCCCCTATCAAGGTTAGTACTCTTTTTATTATAACGTTGTGATTGAGGAAAGATAAAAGAAAGATAAGGCTTATAAACGTTGTGAAGAAGTCAATGATAATGCTAAATCCAACCGTTAGTAAAACTCATTGCTAAAGTCTAGGAATAATTGGTCAAATGGAATAAAAATAACAACAGCTCTCTTAATTCTTTTTGAAATACCAATAATTATTCAACACTTAAAACCTAACAATTTTGGCCTTCTGAAAGCAAGGATTTCATAAAGTTTTATAAAAGTATTGTCCGCTTTGAGAAGCAAGGGTCACAAGGTTTTGTCCTAAAAATGCGTCTTTGGATGATGAGGGACTCTTTTTGTGTTATATAAGCGACCAAAATCCTCATCTCTTAATCAATGTGAGACTTATACTAACAGTAACGAATTCTGTATTTGAAATGGCTGAACAGAGGGGTAATCAAATATCTCTAAGGTCTAATTGACCATTCCTCTTTATATAATGAAGATTTTTTCTCATTTGAAATTTTGAATACATGTTATAAAATTCTTAAGTAGGTATAAATCACTTTAAAAAAAAAAAAAAAAAAAAAAGATCGCTATCATAATTTACTAATCTTGTCTCTTTACCATTTAAACCTTTAGGAAGTTTCCTTACTAAAACAAACTAAAATGAGCTTATAAGCAAGCCAATCAATCTCATTGGACGCCATCCTTTGTAGTTAAACTACAAACCATCACCCATCTCCACTTTTTCTTTGTTTCTTCGTCATCCTCATCCTCATCGTCGTCATTCTCTACAGTGTTTTCTTTATGTCTAATCCACCACGTCAATGCCACATCTCAGTCTCTGCACCATCCTCTCCGAATCGAAACGCATAATCAAAGCACACTCATGTCACTTCCTAGCTCTCTCAGTCCTCTTCCTTTTCCCCTTGTCTTTCTTCATCGCCGCTTTCCTTACCCTCCGACAACTCCTTCTTCACTTAACTACAAACAACTCCAGAACTCTTCTTAGCCACGCTTTTTATCGTTCCACCACCCCCCTACTCTAAAGTTTGACAAACAAAGCCTTCTTTTCACTCTCTTCTTCTCGGTTTTTACCTTTGTTTTATCTCTCTGCACTGCTGGTTCTATCACCTATAGTGTTGTAAGTGTGAAGACTGAAACGATGCCGTGTTACTGTAATACGATGTCGTTTCAGGATAATAGAAGAATCAATCTGGACCATCAGTCATCTTGAGATCCAACGGCTGCAATTAGTCCAATTCTAGTCAATGGTATTTAAGCAAATGAGTCTTCAGTCTTCAGAAAGAGTTTTTCGATCGATATACCGTGTAAAGGAAATTGCTCTCTTAGGGTTTTCATCCAGTTCTGAAATCGTGATCGTTGTAACTAGTTTGAGTGATTGTGTTAGTCATTTTGGGAGAGGGTTATTGTTTCTCTAAGGGCTAGGGAATCTTAGTGTTATTTCTCTAGGTTGGTTGTTACAAGATTGGTTGATTTCGGGGTTTCTTTCTTGGATCATTTGATTTGGAGTCTGTAATCTGTAAACTAGTTCTTAATAGTGCAGTGAGCTTCTCCTGTTTCCGGAGCTCAACGTGGACGTAGCCTTCCATTCTTGGAAAGGTGAACCATGGTAAAATTGTGGTGTTGAATCTTTTCTATGATTGCTTGATCTGTTAGTTTTGTTAGGTTTGTGATGGAATAGGAACAAGTTGGTTTGCTAGGAACGTGTTGAGGATGATTGAATTAGAACCCTAAGGAAACTAAGTCCTTAAAACCCTAATCTTGAGACGCCACAAAGGTTGATCACTCCCTTTGATAAGTCGAGATTCAAGCATTCAATCAAGAACACAAAAAAGCAAAGCAAATAGCTTTCTGAAATAAACTTCAATTGATAATAATTTGTCCCCTAAAAATAACATGGCTGCCCTTTTTATAAGCGACAAACCCTAAAAGAAAACCCTAGCTAATTGAAAAATGGGCTGGGCCTAAGTACAAGCGAATTGGGCCTAAATAAACCTTAAATAAATAAAAGACTAAAGAATCTAATGATAATTAAAACATAAAAAAAAGCCCAAGATTAAATAAACGAAAATTAATTCCTAAATTAATCCTTGCATCCAACTTGATCTTCCGAATCTACCCCTTGCATAAAAAGATAATAGACCATCCTTTTTGAAGCTTTGAAATCTTTGAATTTAGGCTTAGAGTCTTCTAGTACAGCCTCTTTGTATTGCACTTCCATGATCAAGCCTTGCAAAGCCTTTTTCATCCTCTTTGTCTTTGCCCTTGTCATTAGACCGCCAATTCCTTGCAAAGGATCTTGAGAATATTTGGGAACATCAACTTGGTTAGCACCTCAATCTCCATTATTCTCCTCCTCTTCGAAAGGATTTGTCCTTGAATCTCCTACATCAAACAAAGATAAATCAGCAACATTAAAAGTTACACTAACATTACCATAGTCGCTTGGCAAATCTAGCTTGTAGGCATTATCATTGATCCGCTCCAAGACTTGAAAAGGTCCATCTCCTCGAGGCTGCAATTTTGATTTCCTTTGTGTGGGAAACCTCTCCTTACGCATGTGCACCCAAACCCAATCTCCGGGTTGGAAGACAACCTTCAAACGCCCCTTATTGGCTTGCTTAGCATATTACTCATTTTTCCTTTCAATGTTGGCCCGAACTCTGGCATGTAAATCTTTCACAAAATCTGCCTTTTTCTTACCATCAAGATTAGCATGCTCATTAGTAGGCAAAGGTAAAATATCCACAGGTGTTAAAGGATTAAAGCCATAAAAAATTTCAAAAGGAGAAAATAAAGAAGTAGAATGAACAGTCTTATTATATGCAAACTCAATATGTGGCAAACATTTCTCCCGCCTTAAGTTCTTTTGAATGATAGCACGCAACAAAGTAGTGAGTGTCCTATTAACTACTTCAGTTTGACCATCCATTTGAGGATGTGCAACAGTAGAAACTAACAATTTGGTTCCTAATTTATTCCATAAAGTGCGCCAAAAATGACTTAGGAACTTAACATCTCTATCACTAACAATTGTCTTAGGCAACCCATGCAAACGAACCACTTCTTTAAAGAACAAATCAGCAATATGTGTTGCGTCGTTTGTTTTAGAACATGTAATAAAATGAGCCATTCTACTAAACCTATCAACAACAACAAATATGCCATCCTTACCACTTTGAGTCCTTGGTAATCCTAAAACAAAATCCATAGATATATAAATCCAAGGTTGATTAGGTACAGGTATAGGGGTATACAAGCCATGCGGTCTAACTTTAGATTTTGCTTGCCTACATGTAATGCACTTATCACAAACAGATTGCATACCATGCTTCATATTAGGCCAATAAAAATGCTCACATAATATATCTAAAGTCTTTAGAACACCAAAGTGACCCATCAAACCTTCCCTATGACTTTCCCTAACAATCAACTTATGAATATAATAAATAGGCACACATAATTTATCTTTCTTGAATAGAAATCCTTCATGCCTATAAAAATCACCAAACGCACACTTATCACATGCATTCCATACTTGGCTGAAATCAGAATCATTGGCATACAAATCCTTAAGCAATTCAAATCCAAGTAATTTAGTTTTCAATGAAGTAAGTAATACGTACCTCCTAGACAATGCATCAGCCACAACGTTTTCCTTCCCATGCTTGTATTTGATTACATAAGGAAACGTTTATATGAACTCCA